GTGTGATAGGTGCGAAAGTCATGTTCTTGATAAGCAAAATACCAACGTACCTGTTGATGAAAAGTCTCGGCGCTCATACTACCAACAACATGGTGAGAGTGCGAAGCTGACAAAACTAGACCAGTCTAGGCAAGCGATGTCGCATGGTCGAATTGGCAAGACAAAGGTGCCAAAAAACGAGAATGTCCTGTCTAGAGCCAAGAATGCTTATGGTTTTCCATTCCGCGAAGCTAAGATTAGGCCAAATAAGGATCGTGGAGTTTCGAACAAAGATGTTCGAGCTAGACGAACTGGGGATTTGCAAGCCAACATTGATTCCAAAACATCAAAACCAACTCGTGTGAAGCCAGCTGTGATGAATCATGGACTTTACGGATGGCTTGTTTGGTTTGATCGATGGAGTTGGCAGTGGGTGTGGACTTTTGGCATGATGGTTTATGCCAAAGTCTAGTTTGTTTCTTATTTAACTGTTAATAAATAACGTGGCTAAATTAGGCCACCTAATATGTTATAGAGAAAATATTATATAATATGATCAAGCGGCATTGCTAAGAAGAAGCAACAATATCGTTGGCAATAGTTCAAAATAACAAGCGGTGTTGTTCTCTTTTCTCAACATCGTTGGAAGATAGGAAAAAAACAGCTCTGGCGAATTTTTTTTTTCCAGCTCTGCCGCTGTTGCAAACAGCCCTGCTGGTAGGGGTGGGCATTCAGTCGGTTCGGTTCAAACCGAACCGAAATTATGCATACCGGGTCCCCGAATTCTAGCAAACTTCAAACCGAATTCGAACCGAATTATAATTCGGTTCGGTCGGTTCAAACCGAATTATAATTCGGTTCGGTTCGGTTTTTCATACAAAACCGAAATAGTTAGGTTAGCTTGTATCTTCTCTTTTTTAAATTATTTTTCACCCATAATGTGAACAATAAATATGCATCATCAATAATAAAATCAAACATTTCAACACATAAGTCATAAAACACTAACATGATTCAAATATTTAAGTCTCATAATAAGTAGAAACATAAAAATCCACCATTTAAAGCTTGCAATTATAATAATTCGGTTTTTCGGTTCGGAATTCGGAAATTCGGTTCGGTCGAAAGGACCCTGATTTCCGAAATATGCCATTTTCTCTTCCGAATTCCGAACCGAATAACATTAATTCGGTTTCGGTTCGGTTTATATTCGGTTCGGTTAGGTTCGGTTTTACCGAACCGTATGCCCACCCCTACCTGCTGGAAAAAAAAATTTAGCTCTGCCGCTGTTTCCAAACAGCTTTGGCGGAAAAGAGGAAAATAATAAAAAAATGTTTTGCAAAACTGCCGCAGTTTCCTAACAGCACTGGCGGAATATTAAAAAAAAAAGAAGGAAAAAAGCTCTCAGTGCTGCCGTTGTGCTAACAGCCTTGATGGAAAAAAAAAGGTGGGGGTTCTCAGCGCTGCCGCAGCTGCCAACAGCCTTGAAAAAAAAAAAAAAGTTTAGATGCAGCGCTGATGGAGAGTTCTAATATAAAAAAAAAATTATGGACGTTCTGGCCAAAGCTACGCTGCGGCTGTAGTGGAATTTAACAGGCCTGACAAAAAAAAAAAAAAAAACTCAGCGCCGTCGCCGTTTCCAACAACTCTAAAAAAAATTATAAAAAAAAAACAAAAGATCAAGACAACGTTGCCGTAGTGCCGTGGGTGCAGCCTTGCAGTAGAATTGCATGCCACTTTTACTAGCTTTTGCCAAAATCACCTTTGGCAAAACGTGATTTGTGGATTTTCTTGGTAAAGTTGATTTAATTTTAGGTGGTATGAGTTGTGACAACAATTTGGTTCATAATTCTTATAAACCAAATTGTGGGGGGCATTTGTTGACACCTAAAATTAATTTGGCCCCGCATTAATTAGTCTTGGCATTTAAGTCGATGCCGCGGGTAAAAAACGGTGTCGTTTGGAGTTGAGCGGTGCCGCGGAGAGTTAGAACGGTACCGCGAAACTGAAAAACGGTACCGCAAGGAAGCTCAGCGGTACCGCAACACCGGAAACGACACCGCTGGCCGAAAATAAAAAAAGGGGCCGCGCGTTTAATGAAGGTTGGAGTAGGAGTTTTGATTATTTAATTATTATTTTTTAGTCCTTGTGAGAAGCGGCACCGCGGAGAGTTAAAACGGTACCGCAAGGAAGCTCAGCGGTACCGCGGTACTGGGAACGATACCGAAAATAAAAAAGGGCCGCGCGGTTAGTTGGGTATTGGAAAAGGAGTTTTGTTTATAATTAATTATTGTTATTTTTATTCCTTGTTGGATGGGGAGAAGCGGCACCGCGGAGAGCTAAAACGGTGCCGCGGAATTAAAAACAGTACCGCGAGGAAGCCCAACGGTACCGCTATACTAGCAAACGACAGTGTTTAATAATAAACAGTGTCGCGGAAGAAAAAAAATAAACGGAGCTGGTTGGGAAAGAAAACGACACCGCAAGGCTGGAAGCGGAATCGTTTAATATTAAAACGATGTCGTGGGTAGAATCAAGCGGAGCTGTTTGGGAAAGGAAACGACATCGCGGGATCATGAAAACAACTCACGTAAAGTTCACGCGAAGCAGTTTGAGGAGCGAAGCGGTTGAGACACGTGGGATTTCACAAAGGAGCAGTTAAGGAAGCGGTTCCACCGAGCGTGAAGACTACGAAGGAGTTTTTCGAATAAAAGCAGTGGAGCAAGGAGAGAGAAAGGGAACCAAAAAATCAACACAGATCAACTTTGTTCAAACTTTACCTTTTCTCTGTAACTCCTTCGCGGAGCTCTCCTTCCAGGAAGGATCTCCATAGTTGTAGTCTTAGTCGTAGTCGCGGAGCTCTCCACAGGAATCTCCATAGGAGTAGTCGTAACGTAGATTCCTCAAAAACTCAAACACCCTCGTTCGAACGTAGTTTGGAGAGGTGTGAACCGTAGTCACAGTCGTCTTGATTAGAAGTCAGTGGCGCATCAATTCGATCAAATCAACATCGTCGTTTGGCACGCCGACGGTGATATTTGGTCAGAAGATAGTGGTGCATCCGTTCAATCGGCACCGCAAGAGTTTCCACCGCGAAATATTAAATCAACATCGCCGGGAACGAATTCGACGCCGACGGTGGCGTTTGGTTTTTTCGGGGAAACACTGTCTTAAATTATTAGTTGTCTAAACTCGTCGTCGTAAATATGATATCGGAGAAGACCATAGAGCAGAGGTCCCCATGGATCGACCCACACCGCCACCCACCATGCTCTTCATATTCATATATATGCAAACCGTGCAGCTGCCCAGAACCCTTATTTATGAAGAGCTTTCTTGTTTAGGTACATTGGTGAAGGTGGCCATTGATTGAATGTATTGCATTCGCATCCTCCATTGATCCGCCCCATGCAAGCAGATTAAACTCCATTCCCACTCATCAGTCAACACTCGAAACACTTCATATAAATATATAAAGGTTTAATTCTCTCTTTATGAACATTTCTCTTTGCCTTTTCCTCTAATCCCTAATAATGGCGTTCCCACTTCCCATCCTTCCTCCTCCATCAGACCATCACATGTAAAGCAATCAATGATTTCATTCTTACCCTCCCCCACCTCTATTGCCACCACATATAATAAAATGGCACGCTGTATAATTATAAATTGTAAGTCTATTAAAAGTCATCCCCATATTCATCGAAATGTACACAAAACAGAACTTAATTAAAGCCACATTCATATGAAGTAGTGATGACATATTCAATCGTATATTATTTTCCTAATTCTTGTTACTCTTTCTATGATGTGTTAGCTACTTAGTCAATCCTCATTTAATTGAGTTTACTAAAGAAGGGTTTTTTTTTTCCAAATTTTGGACGAAGGTAAGTTCCACATTCTATTATTGAATCAAATCATTTAACTATACAAATGTATGGGTGCTTCACTAGGTGGGGAAAGACTAAACAACAATAGTTAGACAAAATAAAATAATTTTTTCCTTTCTTATATAAAAAAAACCCTTCTCGTACCTACACCCTCGACATTTTGAATAGGTAAGCCAGAGAAGCAAACCGATTTTTACGAAGTGAATTGATTGTGTTGTCATGGTTGAACGATCAAACAACAAGGAAATAACACTCTATAAATCAAATTCTTATACTCAAATGTCTATCACTAAAAGTGAATGTTATTACTATCACACTGCGACCTTCCTATAAGAGCGCTTGTAGAAGCTATCATTGTAACAAATTAAGAGTTAAAAATCTTGTATTTCATAAGATATCATCGTCCACGAATTGATTACATTACTGATGTAGGGAAAAGAGGTTCGTAAATGTCAAATTTGTCAAGAAAATATATCAAAACTTAGGGGTCGTTTGGAAGTTGCGTATGTTAAATCGTTGTATTGTTATGAATCACTATGATATAAATGCATACATTGATATAATAGATGCATTTTTAAATTACATTGTTTGGTTGTTGATATTATAATTTATGAATTGATTGTTATAAAGTTACTTTATAAGGAAATGTCATATTTGTCCTCCACTTTTAATATAAAACAAAAAGAACTATGGACATAATTGGAAAAAGTAAAGGTGCTCAATTATTAAACCAACAATCACAACAATCACAATTTTTAGTTGAGATTTTACAATCCCTCATTTTTGTTGATTGTTGGTGGGACCCACACAAAACAATACATGCATTGTTTTGCAACTTGACACTTCCAAACGTTGTATTGTGGACAATGCATGTATTTAACAAATACAACACTTTCTAAAAAAAAAAAAAACAAATACAACACTAACAATCGCAACTTCCAAACGACCCCTTAGTGAGTACAAGTATAACTGTATAAGCAAGAAGTAGATGAGGCGTGTTATTCTCTTCTTTCTAAGAAAAACCTCGCCACTCTGTGGCAGAGATCATAAGCCTACAGATTAAAGTTCGTTCAAGTTAATGCGTGTTATATGAGATCTGGCTGATGTATATGCATTATGCAATTTATTAATCAAATGGGCAAAAGCGAAGAAGAACAGTTTAACAACCACGCGTGCAGTTGAGCTGTTGATTCATATTCCATTTCATTAATAATATTTACACATCTCTTCATCATTACTGGCTGCCCCGAACCCTCTCTGCAAACTCAGTACACAAAAAAACAAAAACATAAAAAGCGCCTAATTTTTGTTTCCATCTTAACGGTTGCAGCAGGGTCTAATTCAATCTTAATTAACAGAGTTAATTAATTAATCACGATTCCACAGCCTTGTAAATCACAACGAAACAAGGCAGGATGGCCTTCGGATTGAACACAAACAACTCCTCCAACCCCGAGTACACACCCGCGGAACCCGCCACCGAATCGTACGCGCCGCCACCACCTCCAACACCATCCTCATCCTGCTGTCCCGCCGCCGCCTCATCCCCCGCCACGCGCTTCACTCTCCCGGCGATCACGCGGCAGACCAGCATGGCCCTCCGGCCGACGCTGCCGCACCCGACCAGCGAGTCGTGGGCCCTGCCGCTGCTCGCCGTGGTGCGGACCCCACGGAGCTCCTTCCCGGGGAACCCGTGGCGGACGACGGTGCAGACGCCGCATCCGGGGATGGCGCCGCACAGGTTGGACGCGCCACGCGCGCCCAAGGAGCACGTGAGCGTAGTGCAGTGGAAGCGGAGCAGCTCGTTGCCGTCGGCGGCGCACCTGGGGTTCTTGCGCGTGCTGGTCAGCGCCCGTGACTTGACCGCGTCGCGGCAGTCCTCGAACCGTTGGATGGTGCGCTGGGTGTTGTGGACCTTGAGGATCCGCTCGATCACGCAGATTGGGCTTTCCTTCTTCATCCAGCTGGACTTGAAGATTATCTCCACGATGTTCCGGCCCGAATCCTCCGGGCCCAACTCCGACACTGTACAACACAATTCAACCAACAAACCTGTAAATAATTTTCCCACTCCACTAATTAATTATTTGCGTGGAATAAAATCGGAAATATTCGTTTTAGCTAATTATGGAAGTGGTGGGGGGAATACTATTTACTTCTACGGGTGTCGGTGGGGTCACGTTCTTACTATCCTGAGCTAACGTTACGGGTGGGTGACTGCCTGACTGGGCGTGGTTGTTGTTTAATTATGAGGGAAAATGCCACGTCATCGAATCAATGAAGCATTTAAGTGTGCGTACGTATATATTGGTCATCAGAGGGACAGCTGTGTAAGAATTAATTATCTATCTATATTGGTCCACTAGAAGAAGAACTGTAAAACAGTGGAAAAAAAAAGAAGTTAATTAATCAGCGCATTTACCGGCGTGGCGAACTTTCTGATGGAGTTCCAGGCTTTCGATCTTGGGGAACACCTCACCGCACTGCGAGCAAGCGCAGATGGTGGTCCTTGGAGATGGAAACCTGAATAATATAATATAATATTAATAAACTAATTTAATTAAGGCAATTAAATTAATAACAAAGTCGAGAAAATGTAAAGTAATTAAAGATCAACATCACAGATTAAGTACAGTAATTAAAGTCTAAAGATGAACGCCGAAAGCGACGGGGGGATTAATTAGTTTACCGGCTGGGGTCAACGATGGTGTGACATTCGTAGCAACCGGAGAGCTTCCTGAATTGCATCCCTCTGGAAGACGACGCCGTATTAGCATTATTGCAGGACGACCGAGTAGTAGCCGGAGCGATCAGCGACCTGGAGGAGGAGGACGGCGAAGGGCGTCCTCCTCCGGCGGCGGCGGGTTTGCGGTCGTGGTGGTTGCCGAGGGAGCTGGTGTCGGGGGAGTTGTCGGCGCGGTGGACGACGCGCGTGTTGCCGTGGACGACGTCCCGGAAGCTGCAGATGGAGCCGCAGGAGGAGGCGAGCTTATTGGAATTGGGTTTGGAAGCTGCGGGGTCGTGGACGGCGGAGGGTTCGATTTGCTTGCAGGTGAGGAGGTTCTTGAAATGGTCCCACGAGGAGGAGGAGGAAGGGGGTGGTTTGGTGTTGGTGTGTTTAGTGGGTTTTGGGAGCTTTTTGTTGATTGGCTTGGTCTTGGTGGCGGTGGTTTTGTTGTGGTGGTGGTGGGAACGGCGGGGAGTGGAGGATGGGGTTTTGGGTTTGTGTTTGGGGGTGGTGGATTCTGGGTAGAGAGTGAGTACCGCCATTTTTGGGGGGTGGGAAAGGAAGGGATTAGAGGAGGAGAGGAAGAAGCATGCGAGAGGGAGAGAAGTAAGCTTTTGGAAGGAATGGTGGGGAGAGGGATCCAAGACAAGGGTAAATAAGGAGGGAAAAAGGAAGGAGAGAGAGAGGGAGTGAGAGTGATTGTGGTGGTGGGTCAAGTACGTTTTCTGTGAGTGTATTAAAAGATGAAAATGAGATTTGTTTCCAAAGTGGTTAGTGTATGGTTATCAATTGTGGTACTATACTTTAGAGATTAGAAAGAAAATTCAATGCGTTCAGGCTTCGGTTTTCCTAGTACGGAAGCTCCTTGTGAGTATGGAATTGGAGCATGGAGGGTTCCATTACTCATGGAGAGCTAACTACTTACTAGCAGCGGCGAATTCAGGAGAGGGTAGAGCACTGAGCTACATTAGAAAAAGAGACGGAAAGCACTGGACTGTAACCCGACAAACACTAAAACAAATATCGAAATCGAAAATTTACAAGGATATACTAGCTCTGGATCCAAGGAAGGGCGGGGTCGTGACCCGGAGACGGCACCCCCCAGATCCACCGCTGCTTACTAGTATAATGCAAGATCTTAAGTTCACCTAAAAATTTGAGATAAAAAATTGCTCCACGAACAGATTTCACAATAGCCATACTCGTGATTAATATAGCTACACCTTCACATCCGCATACTCGACAGTGGCAATGATCAGACGCCTCGCGATGCTTTCGTGACAAGTTCGTTTGGATCGCACCTATATTGAGGCCAATAATGTGACCTATTAATTAGCTTCAATAGCTAATTCCTTACGGTTAAGAGCTTAGAAGAGCACATTTTAATTCGTCTTGCTAGATCTCTTGGTTATTGATTGTAGTTTGATCAGATTAAGGTTGAACTCAAGAATTGTTAATGCATAACAGTTGAGAATTCAATTTACACGTCCTGTTGCCCGAAAAAAGGAAAATAATCATAGGTATGCTTTCACTAGCTAGTTAAGTTTAGTATGTGAAGGAACATTTCTTTCAATAATTTAAGAGATAATTTATGATAGAATATGATATATTTATGGCGAAGAATTAACCATGCACCGTAACAAGGCATAGAAACGTTAAAAAAGAAGCATTCATCGATCTCTTTTCCATTATTAATAGCTCATGTATTAGGTTTAACTGGTGCTATCCTATGAGTAGGGGTGTAAGTTTGACCCTAAAAACCCATTGACACGTCCTGTCTTTAAGTTTTGGGACGGGTCACTTTTTGACCTTGTGACCCTTAGCAACAACAAATATCTCATACCACATTGGACCTTTTTGTAAAAGTTTTAAAAATTTAGGTACTAAATTGCAAAAATAAAAAATTTGGGTTACCAAAATTTAATTTTACCATCAAAATTTAAGGGCTTATTTAAAAAAATTAGGTACTAAATTGTAAGAAAAATAATTTTGGGTATCAAAATGTAATTTGTAAAAAAGTTGTGTGTAGATTAGGGTCGACCCACTGTCCCGACCCGTCTCATCCCTTGAGGATCAGACAGGGACGCGACATGTCAGTTATACATCTTGACCCTTCATGAATGGGTTAGACAAGGTCAGGAACGGAATAGAGACGGTTCAGGCAATTTTCAGCCCTACCTATGAGAAGAGTTGCATGGTACTTGCTACCCAGTGCATAAGAATTCAACAAACAAAATGAATGGAAAAAAACAATAATTCAATCATTCCTCCTAGATTTTGGAATTTAACTAGTGGCCTTATTGTGTCACATGACTTTGTGACACTTGCCTTTGCATTTCATCGCCCCTTCTCGGGAGTAGTCTGTGGAGTATAGTTGATTGGCCTGGTCTGACCGTTTGGTGAATGGGTCAATACTCCTCCACAAGTTGTACAAAATGGAAGTACACCTATCCTATTGTTATTGCATCTAATAGATGATAAGACGTACACCATTATATTATAACTAGTTATATATCTTAGCAAGTAGCTATTCAGGGTAGCCTGCCATGTGGTAGATCGATCGTGTAAGTTCTTAGGATCAATTTTGTGCTGTAACCCACTGATGCATCAGATGGCGATAACGAAAGGGGATCTCTGTGTATATACACACAAATGGGCAGAGCATGTTGTTATGGTTACATATGGGAAGAGAAGGGCGCACTAGCTATACAGCTTGCTAGTTGCTAGCGACAATCGATGGACGGGTGGATCATGTTATAATATCCTCGGAGCTATTCGTTTGTCTTGTTCCTTCCAAATCTTTGTTCCCCTTTTTGTACTATCCTAGCTTCTGTTTTGTGTTAATTAAGGTGGCCTAATGTGGTCTGAATACAAGAAAATATGTACTCCCAGCCTCCACTTGTATCTATCTTAGTGGTAGTAGTATTGGTTATTTGGGGACCGGTTCCTCATTGCATGCAGGGGAAGTTTTTTTGGGTCAGAGCTGCTGAGGTCTCTAAAATTCATCAAAAGGCTAATTAATTAGCACAAGTTTGAGGGCCAAACCTTTTGGTGTAAGAGTGGTGGTGCCAAGGCATAATTTAGGGTGTAAGAGTGGTGGTGCGAAGGCATAAATTAATGTAGTATCTTATGAGAATTGGATGTGGATCTTCAAATGAGAGATTTCCTAGTTTATTATTTTTATATACATATATGGTGACTTTTTTAGTATCTCGGTAAAAATTGAGGTATTGGCGTATTGCATACACTTGGTAGGAAAGAGCTATCTTGACCTCGAATTTACTGGATTTTAGAGCATGATACTATACCATGTCCCTTGATGAGTGAAATCGAGGTATTAATTATCTAAATTCTGAATCATTGAATCTTCATTTTATCGTACCCCAAGAAAATCTAGGGTACCACATACCCTTGGTAAGAAAATGCTATTTACACATCGATGTAACCAAATTTTGGGGAATAATACTATACCGTAACCCCTTAATGAGTGAACACAAGATCTTAATTATCTAAATCAAAGTCCCTAAACACTAAGAGGGTGCATATAACATTTTTATGTATTTCGACAAATCATGACCATCGATTATTATTTCTGATTAATTTGATCTTAGTTTATGAGATTTATAGAATTAAGACCTAGATATTAATCAATAAGAATTAGAGTATAATACCATGTCCCAAACTCCGTTCAATTCAAGGTCTAAATATCATTTTCTTATTCAACCTATGTCATACCTTTGATTTTACTCAAGGTACGACAAAAACATCCATATAGTAAGAAATTGACATCAAAATTTTGAATTGACTGAAATTTGGGCAAGGTACTATACCGTAATCCAAAAAATTAAAATATAGGTATTAGCTCTACAAATCTCGTACAATAAGATTAATTCAATTATAAACAATAATCGAATGTTATCATTCATCATAATATATGCAACAAACTAAATGCACCATATTAGTCTTCCTAAAAGTAATGACGCACACTACATTACACGCATGTACCTTCCCCTCCACTTAAATTTTAATAATAACAAGTGTATCCCTCCATTTATAAATCTGCATTAATTGTGGTCTATTGAAACAAAAAATTTATATTAACTCGAACTAGTATTAACATCATACTAATAAATTAAGTGTTTAGCACTCTAACCTACGCGAAATAACATTCACGTTAGATTATTCCCATAACATGAAAATGCAACTATTTTTTTTATTGTTCTACCCCTAAGCCTTGGAGATGCCATGAACTCCGTAACAAAGAGCTAGCTCCGCTCCCGTATATGTATGTACAAAATCGACCTTACTGCTGCTTACTCATAATAAGCAGTTTTTTGTGGTCCAACTAATACCACAAACCATGTTCATCATACGAATGTCAGAGTGCAAACCAGAGGTCATCTTCACCACCTCATGTTACCCACACCTGCAACTGAAAAGACAGTAAAGAGAAAAACATGGACCATGATCCCAATTCCTTTATCGTTCATCCCAATACAACTTGACGTGGTGGTTTGGTTTCAGCTTCTAATGGAGGACAAAGAAACCAAGGGCAAGTAATCTCGGAGACTGAGTAGGTAAAGCAGTTTAATGTTAATGATTAAGTGCATGGATCGATGGTGGATATATATCATTAAATCTTTAGCATAATATCAGGGGTATTAGCAGCATAAAGTGAGGCAAAACATTCCATAAAGTGTGTGGACAACTGGGTTATTAATCATTCTCTCTCTGCGTAGGGCCGAGGAAGGAAGCCAAAAAGAGGGTCTTCTCTTGGCATAAAACAAGCAGAAAAAGCAAAAGGGAATTGAGAGCAGCAGTGAGGCTGCGGGCTGCCTGATTTCCATGGATCGTTTCCACGTCTTTCGCTATCCACTTGTTCAACGTGCCCCTGTTTTCTTCACTAGCTACTACACTATCATATCAAGTATGCATTGCACCCACCAGGCCACCACCATCAGCCTTATAACTAGCCTCCCAGAGACCACCGCACTTACTCCTACGTCTACGTACGTACACTATGATCAATTTCTTTCTTTACTTTTTTTTTTCTTCTCTGTTGTTTCCCGTACCGTGAGGAATGCACCATGGCCGTAATAAAGAAAATACTTTAACTACCGAGGAGGGGTTAAAAATAAGAAATTACGACATATTTGAAGTAGTGAATCTAGATTTTTGTGGATGTGGTTAATAGCCCACCGTACAATTTTTTTTAATGTTTCTTCGATATATGATGTTATAAACGCGTTGGTACGGATCGGGAAATCGCCGGAATCGATAAAGCAAGAATACGAAAGCGAGAATCGAAAAAACACAGACACATGATTTACGTGGTTCACTAACACGATGTGTTAGCTAGTCCACGGGCGAGAGAGAGCCAGTTTCACTATATCGAGGAGATTACAGATTATAGAGGAGTATGAGAAGTATTTATAGTACTTCTCCATGTGGGTCTAAACCTAATCCAATCTGGCAAAGGAAACGGTTATAGACCAGGCCCAGAACCCGAACCCAAATAACATTGAACCCATACACCGCGGGCCGGGGGCGTTGCCCCTGGACCCCACTCGCTGACCCCCGACTACCAGTCATAGCGGCTGATAGTCCAATTCAAGTCACATCAACAAATC